CCCCCAAAAACATTTTGAGGCCTAACCTAACTTTGTGTTTGGATCCCTGACTTGTATAACTCAACTTATGAACTCACCTTAATGAAAACCTATCTAATTTATTTCAAAAATCAAAAACAGTTATTTAATTTCAAAATTTTCTAATCAAAACGATCTATAATTTTAGTACGGATATAACAGGACCTCCAAAAAGATTAGGACGATTCTACAAAAACCGTTTTGGTTTGGATATGATATGCCATTCGGTCTGAATTTTTTACATCCTTAGATGTGTCTTTAAATTTGAGACACAACATGTGCATATTTTCATTTTTATGTCCACAAGGTACATTTAAAAACCAAAGGTAATGTTGAAAATTAACCCATTAAAACATCAACAAAATTCAAACTTTTCATATATTTTTTTATTTTTTTCAATAAATAATACCTTTTTTTGTCGTTTTTATCTGGAACTGATTCCTTTTAAGGATCACGTCAAAGACGAATCCAATATCATCTTAAATAAGAGTAAATTGATCGTTTAAAATGATATGTTTAAAATAAGAACATCATCAACCTTATCAAGATGTGTTCGGTTTTTATGCATTTTAATTGTATAAATAATTGCGGGTTTTACAAGTGGGAGAATATATGAAATCCCGTCAGAGTATTCAAAAGTGTCTGAGGAGATTGAGAAAATGGTGCAAATATGGTTAATATGTGACTCCGACACGTTCTTTCCAACAGAGGCAAGGCGGATGCAGAGGGTGTCGAGCCCCTAGACGAAGGTGGATCGACGAAACAAAATTGTAGCATTCTTAAGAACCGTTAAAGAATTACACTTAGCCAAAACAAATTCCCGGTTGCACGGCTATCCGTTGCACTCCCTAAATCTGCCATTTTGCACATACTACAAAACGAAGGACTTTCATCAACAGAAAAATACGTCGGTAAAAGTCCAATCCTTCGGTGAAAAATCATAAAAAAGAATTACACCATGTAGAAATCTTTTGTGCTTGCACGCGAAATTTGTTACTATCCCAAGAATAATGGATATTGACTCTTATAACATGTGAGAATATACCACGAGAATTCACTCGCACCCTTAAATCCGTCGTACACACAAACAAAATGGTAGCATTCTTAATAACCGTAAAGAAAAATACACCATACTGAACTTTTTGTGGTTGTACGGATACCGATTAACACCCTCGTGATCCATCACTATCCCGAGCAAAGGTGGACCTACATTGATTAATATGGTGGCATGGACCACCTCTTCATGATTCCGTCATAAGGGGAAAACATGTTTGTTAAGGGTGCAACTGTATTTTTTTTTTGAAGTATATAATATTTATATACGACAAATGCAACAAATAAACTACACACCCTCCTCACTTTTGGTAGGTTTGAACCTCTGACTTCTAATGAAGCCAAAGCCTACGATACCGCTAGACCAAATGTCCTTTGGTGCCACCGTATTATCGTTTTGGGTGCCACCATATAGTTTTTGAACTGAAATTTAAGAACAAGATTTTGATGGCGGAAGTGGTTAATGCTTCTACCTTTGTACAAGAGGCATGGGTTTGACTCTCAGTAGTTTCAATTTGTTAATATTTAGCTTAAATTTTGGTAAACTTTTCTATACCTCTTGTATTTTTTTAAAAATATGGGCAGGATTCGAACATCAGTCTCTTCTATGGATGAACAAAAAACCAACCAACAGATCTATACTAATATTTTGAAATTTTCCCTTAGATTTTTTATAGTTAAATTGACCACTTAGAAAAATGGGTCCATCTCTGATCCCAAGATTGGTCGACTTTTACTTTAATATCATATAAGAATATATGATATTTTATTAGATTACTCTCTAAAAGACCTCTTAAAAAAAAGATTTTATCATATACAAATAAATAAATAAATAAGTCTAGCTGATACAGAACTCCAACAACAGATAATAATAATAATATATGTTAACTACAAGGGTGGTGCCTGATTGGTTTGAGTTTAGCTCCAAAGGTCAAAGGTACCAGGAGGTCTCATGTTCAAATCTAATGAGGGATAAAAATCCCCTTGTGGTCACGGAGGTTCAAATGCGGTGACTCCAGGCTATCTGCAAAACAGGTGGTCGTTCTGGAATTAGTCAGCTCGTATAGCGAATTGGATATCCAGGTTAATCATATATATATATTACCCTTTTCGCTTCGCTTAGCCTTATCCCTCTCCTTTTTTTTCTGATCATTCGATAAAAAGATATATATATATATATATATTAATTTTATATATATATATATTAATTTTATATATTTTTTATATTCTTGACTTGCAAAGGCCGGTGGTTGCTTATACATGGTCTTGCCTTTTGTTGGTCATGGTCTTGACCACTTGCAACCATAAAAAAACCAAGACTCGTGAGGTCACTTGATCCCAACTAGTTTTCTTGTTATTCAAAATTAAACCATGTTTTATTATAAAAATGTTTGTTTAGAGTTATTAAATAATTATTAATGAAAATGAATATAAAAAAAAAACTGTTTGGTTTTATCTATACTATATTATAAAACATTTGACAAAACTTCTTAAAAACCATTTTTTATGCATAAAATGTTGTTTATTGATGCATATTACTTAAAATTAAAGGTCACAACTAAATTGTGTGTAAGTACAACTTATTAAAGGTTTATTTTTGAATTTGTGTAACTAATTATAGAAAAACATAATCAAATACAGAATACAAATCTCATTTTAAATATAAAAAATCTAAAATATAATCAGGATAATCATTAATT